CATGTCCTAAACTTGGCATCACAGGCTGCTCTCAAGATGCCTGCAGTTGTTATGATCCAGCTGGGGATCGAACTCGGGTCTCCGGTGTGTGTGTCCTTGACACTAACCCCTTCACTACTGGTGGTGGTTTAACCCAAATGCAGAGGACAAAAGGACAGTCAAAAAGTCTGAGTTTAATATTTGGCACTTTACTTCCGATGAAAAAAACACAAAGGGTAATCCAGCCAGAAAAAATATCTTCTCAAACATAAGTCCAAAGAGGCAAAAATCAGAAGTCCACAAAAAGGGTTACAAAAACATACTTTCCCAGAGCAGAACAGAAGGCAACATCTCAAATCCAAAAGTTCTTAGAAATGACAACACTTTGGCTGACATCAGGACTGAACAAGAACCAAAATGCAGTGAAGCCTTAAATAGGGTTTATCATTAGGTGTAATTCAACACAGGTGAGAGTATGACAACCAATTAATTAAGGAAACATAAACTTGGTAGAAATAATGCCATCTAGTGGTGAAATCAGGGAACTTCAGACAAAACATTACAGCAGTATCAAGCCTTCTAGGCAGACTGAGGCAGATCTCCGCATTTTTCCACCGGAGCACCATAGTAAAAAAACAGAAACTGCTGGACCTGCCACAGCACAAGTTAGTGACCGATGTACCAATCCTGTGATGGTGAAGGAGATGAAATCTGCTGTGTATCAGGATCTCCAGAAAAGGTATTTATTATCATTATGACACTTTATTCTAAGACAGTTGTTTTGTATGATACTAATTTCATAATGATAATTTTTATATTTTTTTTGTAATAGAAATGTATTATATTTAATTTAAGGTACACAGGCTTAAAGGAACAATACTTAGCTTCTGCCCTGGACCCACGCTTTAAGGCCCTGCCTTTTTTGACTGATGATGAGCGTGAGGAAGTCTTCACCCAACTCACTGATAACACTAAGACACTGGCAACTGAAAAAAAGTTCAGTAAGCACTGCATAGTGTGAATAAAAACATTATGTATATTTATTATTAATGATACACTGCAATTATGAATTTAAACCTAACTATATTGTTATATACACTATTTTGAAAAGGGTGATAACTACTTACAATACAATTCATTTGCTTTCTCAACAGAGTGGACCAATAAATGCAGAGGCCAATGAAGCAGAACCAGCTGAGGACTCTGGACCCCCATCCAAGAAGAAAAGAGACTCTTGTGCATTGGCAGATCTCCTTGGGCTCCATAAAAACAAGAGATGATGCAGTAGATGAGGTGATGAAGTACAAAGAGGTAAAACCAGTACCACTCAGCACTAATCCACTCAGCTGGTGGAAGGAACATGAGGTGGAATTCCCTCTTTTGTCATGCCAAGCTAAGCGATACCTCTGTATTCCTGGTAGTAGTGTACCAGCTGAGAGAGTTTTCTCAACAGCTGGTGACATTGTCACAGCCCAGAGAAGTGCACTGACGCCTGAGCATGTAGACCACTTGTTTTTTTTTTAACAAAAACCTGCATGTGCATTAGTTTGATAACAAATGCTTTAGAATTAATATGTTATATATATTGTACTAAAATGTTATGAGTTATATGATGGAAATGTCTGTAATGTATCCTACATATAGTCACAGTAAATAAGACAAAGGTTCTCTGATCAGCTGTTCAGTGTTATTTATTCTGTTGACAAAATAGCACTTTGTAATGTTATAATATCTATGGTTGCACTTTGTTTTATGAGTATGCACATTTTGTGCTTCTGTTTACATTTCTTTTATAACTTGAATGTATTCGCCTTATTTTCGAACGCGGAAGTAACTATAGGTCCAACTTCCGGTTTTTGTGCGGCACTTCCGTTTCTTCGCTTCCCTGGGCTAACTAACGTTAGCTGAACTAAGTTGGTGAACTATGTCGTGGGAACATTTCCAAAAATCGCTAAGCAATCGAAATGGCAGGTCAGTGCCACACCCTCAAACGATTCACGAGTGGGAGGATGACATGAAGAAGTGGCCTCATATAACGTACGAGGACATATTTAATTATTTTGTGTTGTCACTTGGTGCGGATGGGTCTACAATGCGCAATTACAAAAGTACAGAGGCGTATCAGTACCTCCACAGTGGAAAAGTTGGCAAGGTGTTTATCAATAACAACATCGATGACCTGGTATTCATGAAGGCTGATGTCCAACCAAGCCAAAGCAAGTTTGACGTTCACTCTGCATGGATCCTGACTACCTCAACCGGCACTATTGAGACGGCCGGATGTTCATGTGTCGCGGGTCAGGGGAAGTCCTGCAGTCACGCAGCGGCGATCTTATGGAAGGTATGCTAATGTAATGAATTGTCTGTTCAGTTGTCTGTTTTATATACAGACTATATAGTTCAGTGCCATAACACGCTAGTTGTTGCCTTGTTGTGATTAGATTGCTAGTCATATATTTTACATAGAGAGCAGTGCTAAATATTTGGGATTTAACTAACATTACAATTTGATATCTAAATGTTAACTGATGCCTACCTCATAATGTGTAGGCTTGAAGCTTGACACATTGTACCAATCTGATGTGTACTCACAGAGCTCTTGATGCAAGTTTGTCACATTCAATTTTAAGCTAGATTTACATTGAACTTGAAGCATCTGATAAACAGTACAAATAAGATAGAAATAAACGTTTCTATTTTATTTGTACTGTTTGGGTATCAGATAGAAGAGCGTATGGAAACTTTGGCTTCTAAGGTATTTGGGAAATAAAATTTAGTATATGACTAACATTTTTATTTTTTAATCTACAGATTGTGCACCTTTTCCAGATAAGTAAAAGTCTAATCTCTTGTTCATTGATGCTGCTTGGGTTAAGGTAAGGTCGTTCAAGTTTGGGTAAAGGTAATATTCTGTCAGCACACCACATTTTGGTGAACCACCTCCTTTCTGTGTAGGTAAGTATACCAATTCTAATTCATATCAGTTTAATCTCAAATGGCAATTTGGGTAAATGCATCATCAAGGTAAGTTGAAAAATATGGACAGTTTATAGTTGTCACCATAAACTGTCCATATTTTCTATATACGTTTTTTGACATTAATACTGTAATATGTTAAAAATATGTAACTGTTCTATTTAAACTTTGTTAAAGGTGCAGTTTGCAGTGTCCAAAGGTCTGACTGGATTGTCCTGCACAGATGAGCAGCGCCACTGGAACTCAGGGACACAGCGCAATTTAGTCCCCAAAAGGTTAAGCAACATATGTTTCAGGCACCACAAAGAAGGTTCTGATGTCTCTGAAAACATCCTGCCCATCTCTCCCTCTCTACCACCAACCCCTGCCTACAGCTCACATGAAGCACTGAAGAAGAGCTTAGAAGTCGCCAGTGTTCCAGTGGGCAGCCTTCTGCACAAATGCATCTCTGCTGAACCAGATCAAACTCCAGCAGCTCCCACACAGCTCCAGCTGCCTCATAGTGAGCATGGCACAGATATACAGTGCCAGAAATGCATGTCATTTTATGATATGTACATAAAATTAGATGGAGATAAATGTGCCAGTTTGGAGGAGTTCACTAAAATGCAGAGCGCCTCCCACTTGTGGTTTGATGCATGTAAATTAAGAGTAACTGCTAGCTCTGCAAAAAAGGTCCCTGTGCGTGCATCTACTAAGCCAGATAATTTTCTTAGAGAGCACCTGTTTCCTAGGTTCCATGGGAACACTGCAACCAGGTATGGCCAGGAGAATGAGGAGGTGGCCTACGCATGGATGGAGAGCGTTGGGTTTCTAGTTGAGAAGAGAGGCACTGTAGTTAGTATCACAGAACCATGGCTTTCTGCAAGCCCAGATGGCGTGGTTAACTCCACAGAGCTGCTGGAGATTAAATGTCCTGTTTTGGCCAAGAACTGTGCATCTTTGGCTGAAGTTTTTTCCAGCAAGCTCACAGATGTGAAGATGGTGGCCGGGGTTCCACAGCTGCAACCAAATGGATCCCGTGGTTACTACCTTCAAGTCCAACTGGGTATGTTTTGTACAAGACTAGAGAGATGCAAGCTGCTTGTCTGGGCTCCATCTGAGAAAGTTGTCATTGATGTGCCATTTGATTCGGAGTATTGTTCACTAGTTATACCTAAACTCAAGTCCTTCTATTTTACTCACATGCTGCCAAGGATTGTAGATGAGTTTCTGTCAGGCAGACTCATACTGTGCCATAAATATGTACATATGTGTAAATAGGCTCAGGTTCTAGTCTTTAAAGGGATACTCCACTTTTTTTGGAAATAGGCTCATTTTACAACTCCCCCAGAGTTAAACTGTTGAGTTTTACCATTTTCGAATCCATTCAGCCGATTTTCTGATATTTAGAAGAATATCAGTAACCAGACACTTTCTGGTCCCATTGACTTTCATAGTAGGAAAAAATATATACTATGGAAGTCAATGGCACCAGAAATTGTCTGGTTACTGATATTCTTCTAAACATCAGCTGAATAGATTTGAAAATGGTAAAACTCAACTGTTTAACTCTGGGGGAGTTGTAAAATTAACCTATTTCCAAAAAAAGTGGAGTATCCCTTTAACCTGCTGTATGGGCATACCAGACATCAGCTTTCCTTTGTCTGTGTTAATACCTAACTGTTAATAATTGTTACGGTGTCCCTTTGTTAGCCTAGTTCCTTGGTGTCTTTCTTTTTATAGCTAGTGCTCAGTTTTACACATGATGGTGATGTTTTACCATTTTAATAGTAATTGAGATTATAATTAATATGTATAATACATGGCCTACAAATAATGCCATAAGTGAAATGTTTAAATGTAGTGTTATTTTACCATTTTAAAAATGAATAATTGTAAATACATTCAATGTAAACAAATGACATGAGTTAATAAATTCCATTAGTGAAATACTGTAACTTCTTGCCTCCTTGTCTTCTTCTTTAGTTATTTACATGTGGTTAGGACATCATCCACTCGATCAAAATATGACTAAATAAAACAAATTACATTAGCAATTCAAATTAATAAAGATAGAAAATTGTAATAATACACATTTTAGTTGGACAAGTTAAATATCATGTTTTTGTATCTGTAATCAATTAAATAGTCTAAAAATAAGTTGATATTATACAATAGGTGAAAAGTCATTAGAAAATTGAAAACATCAAGGTGTCAAACACAAACTATTTATTATAAAACCTGAGATCCAAAACACATTCTTGTATATCATAATTCCATTTTACAATTTACTATAAAATAACTAATCAGCAGTGCAGAATAGAGATATCTGAAAAATAGAATGTTAAAGACAAATCATATGTGAAAATTATAGTACAATCAAGGCACTGCAGGCTGTCAAATAATTATTTACAAATATTATGGATAATATACGTCCATGCTCAATCAGCATCCTCGTGGATGATTCCCCCCTGCATGTTTACAAGGGCCGCACAGATTCTGAGGATTTTGTCCATTTTGTGTGCCAAGTTGATGGGTACAGTCTGGGAGATTATTTTGAACACTTTGAGCCTCCTGATAACTCTTTCCACATGAATGCGCACATTTGCAATCCTCCTTGTGGCAGTTACATCCTCATCAGACAACTGCCCTCCTTTATGAGTGAACGCTGGTAGAACAAGGTTAACCCTTCTCTCAAACAGCAGATCTCTGATGGTAAAGCCTCTGTCTGCCATCACTTCATCACCGGGACGAAGATACTCCAGGAAGCCAGACTCCTGAGTGATGAACTTGTCACTACACCTGCCTCCATAAGCAGGAGAAATGAACATAACAAGCCCACACGGGGCAATAGCAACTAAATACTTTATAGTATTGCTGGAATAATAATGGCTGTAGGACTCGCCTCTGGAGTCAAGGTTGTGTGGTTTCTGCAGGTTGGTCTCAGTGCAGTCAATGATGCAGGTGGTGTTGGGGAACTTCTCCCTGAAGCACTGAGGCATTGTGCTCCGGATTGTCTCCCGTGGCGGCCAAGGAATGTAGATTCTCATGTGCTCCTCCATTGTGTCTATCCAGTAGGAGAGGATCCTGCTCACTAACCCCTGGGACACAGCAAAGCGTTCTGCAAGATCACCCTGGAGTAGATTCAACTTGAGTTTCATCATGGTCATCAATATTTGATCCATTTCGTGCATCTTAAAGTTTGCTTTATAGAACTGTTCCAGATATTTAACATGATCAAAAAATACATTGAGAGAAAGGCCTGTGTACAACACACAGCTAGTGTCATTCTTCAGGATGGCATGGGCAAGGGGTACTTCTCCACCACATTGTGTTTCTCTGTCGCATACATCCTTCATCTTTCCTCCTAATGTGTAGGGGTGATCCATCAGTGCCTGCACCTCCCACTGAGTGTCAGCATCTTTATGCAGAGGTGACTCTGACTGTGGAATGGTCTGGTCAGCCTCCTCATCACAGTGGCTGTCATCTGCCAAACATAAGACCACATTAGCCCAGTTTAGCAAAACACATAAAACATGCCTAGACTACTTACAACTACCTTAACAGCAAGCTAATAGAGAAACACCTGTATTAGTGCTCATTCAAATAATCATATTGCATATAGGGCTGGGCGATATATCGCACGATATTGTTATGCGCATCTCGTCAGTAAAGCCGGTTCCTTGATTAGTAGTAAATCGCCTTCACCTGCTTTCAGATGGAGCGGCATTTACTACAAAGAGCCGTAGTTAACTGACAAGCTGAGCCATATCGCATTAATATCGCGGATGTATCGCAATAAAGTACTGTATTTATACAGCAGCGCTACTGTGATTTTAGTAGCATTATTACAGTAAAATGCTGTAATTTATTACAATTTACTGTATATTTACTAAGTTCCGTATTAGCCAATTAAAGACACAACAATGGTAAAAATTTACCATTGTAAAATTTTTGGCACCATCATGGTGAACAGTGTTGCCTTTAGTTGGGCAATTTGACTCTAGACTTCTTATGTGAATTGCACATAAAAGTCAAAGAAAGTCAGAAACAAAAGTGCAAAGAAAGTCAGAAACAAAAGTGGTCTGGTGATAGGCGTAAAATCTATTGTAAAAATTACATCAATTGCTAACAGTGTATATTATAGAGCCAATTGGGTAAATTATGCAACAATATTTGTGCGGGTGTGTTGGTATGGATGTCAGAGTGTGGTTAGTATGTGTGTTACAAAAAAATAATATGTGCGTGTGTGTTTGTAATATTGAGAGAGAGAAATTCAACTACTAACAAATCCAATCACTGTGTGCACTAGTGGAATTTTGCTGGCACCCACCGGAGAACATCTGATACTGCACCCAATCAAAATCTTACCGAAAGCTCATTTTTTTTAGATATATGGCTTTGATTTTCTAGCCGTTTTAGAGTTCAACTCGTTTCATAAAATATATATATTTTATATAAAATAATGTTCATATATAATTTTCATAAACTTAAACCTATGTACTTATTATTTTTTTTACTTCAGCAATTATCTGCCACGGGTCTTCTTTAAAATGATACCAAACTTAAGTCTGTGCTCCCAATCTTAAAAGTTTATGACAGTTTTTTGACACGGACATTTTTGTCCTCTATGTAAATTCTTTTAATTGATGCACAATGGATAAATATACAGAGAGAACAAACTTAAAAGACAGTTGGCTTTATGTGAAAGATATTAACTGTCAAGAGGGACACAAACTGAGAACTAACAAGAGTTAACATTACCTGTGTCTGCTAACCTCTGGACACGTCTCCTTGGTGTTTTTATTGGGACTTCGTAGCCCAGCCACTTTTCTGGTATCGGGTGGTCTTCTGTGGGTCTTGTGTCCACGAAATGAAAAGAACAAACATACGGTCGCTTCGGTGGTTTCTTCAAATTTAAAGCTTTTAACCACAGGCGAAGAGATTCCTCATTCTTCGGCGGGGGGTGAAGATCGTAGGGCGCATCGCATCCACATTAAGCTCTCGTACGCGATCGATGATCAAAACACTCCTGCTCCAAGTAAATCTTTCTTTTGTACCAGTTATTATGACAACCTCTAACTGCACAAACAATCCCGGTTTTCCTCAAAGCCATAACGACGAGTTAATTAACGTTAGTTTATGGAGACTTGTTCGATTTACCGCCGCTACAGTGAAAAGTGAGTTACTACACAGTTACCGGAAGTGCCTGACCGGAAGTCTCGCACAAAAAAACCTTCAACTGGCTGCGTCCGTATTTCCGTTAAAAATAAGGCGAATAGGAAGAAAAAATATACTTTCTACTACTTACAGTTACATGCACTTTATAGGTGTTAATAAAGCACCTGTTTGTTTACAGTTGTGGTTTGTATTCAACACATGTACAATATTGTACAGTTTGTTCTGCTAAATAAACCATGACAGGAAACATGCTGGGGTCAATTTGTTCTTAAACATTGGTAATACTGCACACATTATTCAAAAATATACCCAGGTACTTAATTACTTGTGTATTTACTTATTATTGAATCGATATTGAAGCTTATAAATCAATATCGAATCGAAATTTTATCGAATCGAAATTTTATCGAATCGAAGCCTCAAGAATCGAAATCGAATCGAATTGTGAAATTCCTAACAATACCCAGCCCTACTTGTTATGCTGCTTTATATTGTAAACTGGTGTTTCTTATATTATGTATTGTCATAATTTTAAACAGTGGTTTGTTGCGCAAATAGTTTTACCGTTTATTGCACTTTGTTATTCTTCTAGTCAATTCACAGAAATTAGCTTACTTCCGCATTGAAAAATAGGGGTACATGTCTTTAATAGCAGTCAACAATGAAGAATCAAGAATGGACACCAACCTATTTGTTCCTCAGTATCTTCATGTTTTATTCTGGATGGTTCAGGAGGATCCCTCATGTCTTCAATCTCCTCTTTAATAAACTCAATCTTTACTCTAGTACGGCACACAGATACACCTGGAGTGTCTCCTGCGTGTTCAGATGCACTTCTAGCCTTGATGATGAGAATATTCCCAGCATTTATTGCTGAATTATTTTGAAAGGGCTGTGATCACTCTGAAACAAGAGAAGAAACATAAATTACTGATTTAAAAAACAATCCCACAAAAATTATGATCTTTCTTCATTATAACTCATTCTGAGATTTCTCAGATATCAACCACAATTTGAAGAAACTGTAACCTGTAAAAAACAACAACAAAAAAAATGTCAGCATAATATAGAAATTAATGTATAAGGGCAATTCTTAGACTATGGGCACTTTCATGTCCTTTGATCATATTTTACAAAAAACATTTAATTTTGAAAAATTCGCACTTTCATAGTTAACTTTACAACGAAAGTACTTTAGGAACTTTTTACCGGAAGTCTACGATGATTTTTTCACCTTTTTAAACATCATTATAGATGCAAATATTGCTGTTTTGTGCTTGTCCCACACCCAGAATTCTGATCTTCAATAATGAAGTGTAAAAAATTATTTATCTATTCTTTTTTAAATATGACTGAATAAAGTATCAGTAAAATAATCAAAACATAATTGTGGTATTCGAGGTCAGACAACTATAAATGTGATTTTATATACAAAATGTACTTGTCCCACAGTATTGCCGTCATTTCCACCACAACGCTGTAATGTCCCTTTTAAAAGTTTTTTTTTTGAAAGATTGTTTGGGTAGTTTCTATGGAGATGAACAATGACATCACAGCACATGTCTGACATGGAGGAGATTTGAATTTCTTCACCAACTTGGTGAAGAAAACTCAAGGTAAATATTGCTTAAAGGCACACTGCGGAACTTTTGGCCACTAGTGGCGCTCGACCTGTAACTTTCACGTCTAGCGTCCCTAGAGGCCACAACAAGCTCCGCAGCACTGTCGCAAAAGTCAACAAACAGTCAACCGGTCAGCCCATAGACAGTGGGTCAGCTTCCCGTGTCTTTAGATTGTGTGTGCTTGCAGTGTTTGAGGCGGGCAGCCTGGCCGCGCTCGATTCCCTTATAACGTTAGCAGTCTGCTGAGAGAGAGCGAGCGGCTTAGTGCAAACATGTCTGTGAGTGAATGTGGGCGCGGGACGGCGGGCCGGGCACATTTACTGCACTAAAAACACCATCGGTCTGAGCTGACTGTAACTTATGTGTGTTGGTTTCGTTTTACAGAAACCGTGGGACATGTTGTGTGTAGTGTTTGTGGGCACTGAGTCGTGGGAACGTTCACTACATTTAATGTAAATTTGACATGAGTCGACTTTATTTGTGCGAGCCCTGCACTGTGGCGGGCTGTGTTTGTGTGTAGAAATGAACAATGGGCTGTGGGCATTTTATTACACTCATAACACCATCGGCTGTGGCCGGAATACCAGAAAATACTACACTGCTTATATGATTTATCTGGGTCACCTTGGAAACGGCATTTGTGTGCAGGCAAGCGTTAGCATCGGTCGGGCACCCCTCCTCCTCCTGTAGCTCACGCCAGCGAGCGAACGCTGGACCAATGGTGATCCTCGTCCTGGCTTTTCATTTATCACTATGCCTTTTTCTTTTTTTTAGTGTCCTCTGACAAAACCTTTGCCTTCTTCCTTGTAGCTGTTGGTTCGGCCATGACGAAAACATACAGACGGCAATCAAACGCGAGTTGCGCACTCACGTCAGAATCTGAGGAAGTTGTGGGTGGTGGGGGAAGTGACGTATGCCGTAAAGCGGTCGAATTTTGTAGTTCTTTTTGTGCTCGGGTTCCTACCCGAACCCCGAAGTTACATAGTGCTAGGAAAAGCGATACAGACACCTTCAGGCTACGGCAGACGTGTCATTCAACCTATTGTAAGTCGATGTACCATCTCAATGGGTTTTGGTAATATATTATAAAGGTTGAAAAGTTCCACAGTGTGCCTTTAAAATGAAAATATTTTTATTGTATGTCATTTACAAAACATGGCGTAACATCAATTGAGTTTGTAAATAAATAGATTTTTGAACATAAATAGATGTAAATAGATGTATTTTGCATGCATGCAATGCTAGCTACCAATTCATAGCTAATCTGTAGATGCTAGCTTTGATTTTTTTTTACAAAATACTGCAGGATTGTCATGTCCACCACTGTCATTTCCAACACATTACCTTCTTGGGTGGAAATGACAAAGGTGAGGTGGAAATGACATTTATGGTTACAAGGTGCAATTCATAGATTGTGTGGCTATATATGTATATTTTATTTATTGAAATGTACAATGCTAATGTATTTATTCAAATATATATTTGTTTTTCTACATGGACGTCCATTCATTGTCATTTCCAAAACACCCAGTCATTTCCACCACCTCATAACTTTTTTAAAAATATGTACAAAATTCTAATCACTCATTAAAAACTTCTGCATAGTTTATGGGATAATGGTCCACTTAATGTAATAACACAAGTAGTTATTTTTCTGAAATGTATCTAACCAATCCAATATTATATTTCAGGTTGTGGTGGATGTAATCTTTGTGTTTGGGCCTCTTGACAATTAATTTACTTAATCCACAAATCTATGGTAATTGCAATATAGGTATAAACTGGTAAAACTATGTGTGAAAGTGGTCTTACACTGTTAAGAAATTATGTATATCATAATATCTTTAAATAATAATCAAATATGTACATGTGATGGAAATGACATTTGTTCAGTGCGGATCGGAAAATATGTCAAAAAACACCAATTTGTCTTATAATGTAAGTGCGTTCTCTTATGGATTATTAAA